ACCGATTTTATATTACATTTCTTGGTATTCAATGGTAAAAATCTTAGATTCTGTCTAGGGTTTTATGGCATATTTGGAGATGCTGCTTAACAGCATATTCTTAGCATTCCAATCATTCTGTGTTTCTGGATATTTCAGCAAGCACAGATGCCAAATACAACAGATGGCGTTCAAACCTGAGCGTGTGTGTGCTTTGAGGTCTGTGACATCAGCTGAGAAATATATTCAGCTGCTGAACGAAAAATATTGGCCTACAGAAATGTAGACCTCAACTAACAATTAGCATATGCATTATTCAAATTAAGCACTCATCTAATCCAAGTCCTCTAAATGCCTCTATTACACGATACTACAATCAATACGATAAAAAAAGAATAATAAATACATGCATACATACATACATAAAGAGATTTTTTTTGACATGCATTCAGAAATTGTACATCTTCCTGAAGTATGCCATCTGTCATTAAATGTGTAAGTGCATGAAAATCACATCTTCCCAGAAGTTACACTGGACTCTCGCTGATATCTTAAAAGTTTTGGCCTTCAAAATGTCTGTAGTTGTTAAAATTGAGAACAACTTTCATCATCTAATAAAAAGTGAGTACATGTTGTTGTTAGATACCCAGATGTATGAAATACACACAGACACACACAAACAGGTTGTACAAAAGTCAATTCCCTGGAAGCATCCAGTCTACCGACATTCCCTGTGGCTTATTTATTTAATCCTTCCATTTTAACCTTCAACTGTGATTTATGACTGCCATTAATCTTAGGCTGCACATTAATTCCACAGCACACAGGTTCATCTGACCTGTGCCCTTTCAGATCCCAGCTGCGGTGACTCACTGTGTCATCTGGTATATGCTCATTTTTTCCATATCCTTCTTAAGTGGATGGATTTAAGGAGATAAAGCCTCAAATCAGAGATAGAGCTAAATTCAAATCAACTCAGATGTGTCAGATTCATACTGCTGCTGCTGAAAGCAAAACTACACTCTTAAAAATAAAGGTGCTTCAAGATGCCATAGAAGAACCTTTTTTGTCTAAATGGTTCCATAAAGAACCTTTAACATCTGCAGAACCTTTCTGTTTCACGAAAGGTTCTTTGTGGCGAAAGAAGGTTCTTCAGATTGTAAAAACGTAAGAAAGAGATGGTTCTTTAAAGAACCTTTGACTGAATGGTTCTTTGTGGAACCAAAAATGGTTCTTCTATTGCATCGCTGTGAAGAACCTTTTAAGCATCTTTATTTTTAAGAGTGTACAGCAGACATTAGCATAAACTCCTCCTGAAAATTGCAATCAGTTTTCACTTTCAAATGTTTGAAGAGAACCTTTTGAGTCTTACAAGTAAAAAATTTCTAAATATGTTCATATCCATCTAACTGAATAATAACATCTGGTTTAATAGCACAGACATCTGTGCAATTTAAATGTCCGGTGAGTGGTGCTAAAAGGTTATTGCATTTAAAAATAACAAACCACCAACACTAAACCCTTCCTTAAAATGAATTGATAGTGTTAACAAAAGCAAATGTGAAAACTCATTTTGCTGAAGCCCCCATGCCATTGTTGAGCTTTTTAATCACAAATTTTGTTACACAAGACTCACGCCCAAGGCCTCCACAAGTGTGATGCTTTACCAGGTGAGCTACCATGCAAGTTTACTATGTCAAAAATGCAACACATACAGTATGGAACTGACAATGTGATGCAAACACCCGAATGTATAGTTTACACTATAGTTTACATGTGTAATTTACATGCACAATGGTAAAATGTTTTAAGAAACTAAGTCTTCATTACAAAAGTAAGTCTCAATAATTATGTGTGTGTGTGTGTGTGTGTGTGTGTGCCCCTGTAAAATCTGTATAAAAAGGAATAAAAGCGTTTTTTTTGTTGTTTTTTTTTCAGCTGGAAACCACAGTGAATTGTGTGTATATGTACTGTACATTTTTGGAGTTTAGCAAAAATTTAGGTTGAGTGTAAATGACCAATTTTTGAGTGAAAGCAGAAATGCAAAGCTTAGAATTTTATAAAAGCACTTATATTAAATGTTCTGTTAAAATTCTGTATTATTGGTGCTGTAATGTTGTTCTCATCATTTTTGCAATAATTTCTACGGTGGCCGAGAGAGCTCAATGTGCTGCAAATGAAAAAACACATGCAAATAGAAAAAACGCCTGCAAATTAAGAAAACCTCTTTATCAATTTGACAACATACGCGTTGCAAATGCTCACAGCACAACCAAATAAAGAAACGCGCTGCAAATGCTCACAGCACAACCAAATAAAGAAACGCGCTGCAAATGCTCACAACACAAACAAATAAAAAAACACGCTGCAAATGCTCACAACACAAACAAATAAAGAAACGCGCTGCAAATGCTCACAACACAAACAAATAAAGAAACGCGCTGCAAATGCTCACAACACAAACAAATAAAAAAACACGCTGCAAATGCTCACAACACAAACAAATAAAGAAACGCGCTGCAAATGCTCACAACACAAACAAATAAAGAAACGCGCTGCAAATGCTCACAACACAAACAAATAAAGAAACGCGCTGCAAATGCTCACAACACAAACAAATAAAGAAACGCGCTGCAAATAGGCACAGACCACATCGTAAATGTTTAAGGGAACTGCTAAGTGATGAACATGGCTGGGACATATTTATCAATGTTTGCTCTGAAAGGTGAGATTTTTGTTTATTTTAACATAGCGATCATACGATTCCTTTGCTTCTTCTTCTTTTTTTAAATTTTTATTATTAGCCTAAATAAGCTGACGAAATACACAATTACTGTAACTGTGAAAGCATGTAAGCTGGCTAACTTACTTTACAACTTCCCTTACAAAAATTAACCATATGGTTTTACTATTAAAATTAATTAATTAATAAATACATTTATTATGTAAAAAATGAAAAACGTGTGTTTCTGTATTTGGTTGTGTTGTGAGCATTTGCTGGGTGTTTTTGTATTTGATTGTGTTGCGAGTATTTGCAGCACTCGTGCTGTCAAAATGATGAAGATGTTTTCTTAATTTGCTGATGCTTTTTCTATTTGCATGTGTTTTCTGAAGTTGCAGCACGTTGAGCTCTCTTGGCCACCGTACATTTCAGGGTTTTAGTATTACATTGTCATGGCAACAAAATTGTTTTAGATAAAAAATTTTACACAGAAAGGGTTAATAAGTGGGGGGAAAAAAATTCACACTAAAATCATGTTAAGATGCATATTGTTTATGTCCTGTGGCTGTACTATTGAAACAGTGAGTATTTTACAGTTTATGGACTCTTCAGCAAATGCTTCACTGTAGACAGTTTTCTTCTTCTTCTTCTTCTTTATTAAAGAAAAGGAGTGACAAGTCAAAATCAGTTATTATTGTAATCAACATTATGCCGCAAGTGCTGTCGACTAGGCTTATACTGAACTCGGAATATCCCTTTAATATCTTCTATTACTCAACTGATTTGGTTTAATAACTTTCTAGAGTATTCACTTTATTTTTGTCCTAGATTTTATCTTAATCAGGTTGCGAGTTAATACCTAGACACAATTATTTTACTATCTACACTTTCAGATTGTAAATGGCATCAGTCCAGTTACACCACAACATCATAGCAGGATAAAGCCGGATATTATTTGTTCAGCAGATTCTTAGAAAGAGCCCTAAAATAAGCCTTTGATATTAAAGAGGATTTGCTGAGGCAATCAGCATGAGTTGGTTTTCTGTGAGTTGGGTTGGCGAAAGCCAGTCAGTGTGTTAAAAGACCCAGAAAATCTATAGAGTAGACTCATGTCCAGTTGATTGTCTGTGTATCATTAATATTCATTATTCTGCTGAAGCTTGTGTAAAGCAATCAAATCAAATAAAAGATCTCTAGGTATTTGTTCTAGGGTACATTAAAGTGTCCCTCTTACCCTGTAATTGTACATAAGTACTGAATAATAATGAAAACAGTGTAGTAATATGTGATCCATACCTGTATTGGAAAATAGCCCTGCTACAGGAAATCACAGCTGTGCTATGGAGGTTTTAAAAGGTTAAAATGTCAGTCTAGATGGATATCCTCATGGTGATCATAATTGCCATATTGCTTCTAAAAATACCAATTATTGCTTTGTGTTATTTTGGAGCTCTATATATTCATCAAAATTGTGATTGATAGAATCTTTCAATAGATTTATACATATATGATATTATAATAGGAATTCTGTACACTTTCGTACACTTTCTACACTCTAAAATGTCGTGTTAGGTATAGCTGTTGCTAATGCTTCATATCTGAATATATTGGTTATTCAAGTAAAAACTATATGACAGAATTGCCCTGACTACAGGTAACATTAAAAAAAAAGCCCATTTAAACAGTCAGATCAGATCTTAAAGCTCCAACTTAACATCTTAATTTAAAAACTTAAGTTTTATTATTATTATTATTATTATTTATTTATTTATTTATTTATTTATTTGGCATCTATATGTAATGTCCATTATACATATTCTCAATATTTAATGCTATATAAAGGTATTTATTATGTTATTCTTAGGCGATAATGCCAATACACTGTAATACAATAGATGTGTATTTAATACCCTTATATGTAATACATATAATACTTTAATTGTTTGCTATTTGTTTTTTACTCTATCACTCAATTTCGCCTATTACTATAAAGCATTTTGAGTTGCATTTGATATTTGAAATGTTCTTTCAAATGAAATGTATTATTAATAATAATATGTATCAGTGAAATTGTGAATAACTGTAGTTTTAGTTATATAATAGTTAGATAATATTAATTAGACTGTATTATTACTAATTATACGTCATATGAATCTTTATATGGACCTTTAAAATTGTTATCATTGCATTCCGCTTTTGGCTTATAGACGCTGTAATGTACCGATTCTAAAACCACACAAATGCCGCATGATCACCCGGTAATAGAGTGTGTGATGAACTGTTCGTGATTTTTACTCACTCCGGTTTCCTGGCGAGTCCAACGGACCGGCACAATGTCGAAGGAGTTTGCGGAACCAGAGACTTGCAAGACGGGCTCCTCTTCTCGTCCTCCGCGGACTCCGGGCTGGATTGGCTCGCTTTGAGAGTCGGTGGGGACGTAGGTACGAGCTGCAGATGCTGCGGGTGATGGAGGGTAGCTGCCGGAGGATGCTGCGGCTGTTTGGACGGATGCTGCTGCGGCTGGCTTTCACCGTGAGTCGCCGGATGCTGGTGCGGAGGAGCGGCCGGCTGAGGGCTGCTGGTCCGCGGAGATGGGTGGTGATGGTGGTGCGGATGATGGTGGTGAAATTGATGCGGATCTCTCAGCTGACGGTTCTCGCCGATCAGATCCTCAACCTTCCTCTCCAGCTCGTCGATGCGTTGCCGTTGGGTTTGAATCAGACTCTGCTGGTTTTGTACTATAGTGGTCAGTTCTTTGAGATAAAGCACGGCTTTCATTGGGTTATCCAGCAAGCTCTCCATTACTATAATCTCAAAGCTTTAAGCCTGCTGTATCAGGATGGAGTAGGAGTCTTCTGGATGCAGAGAATGTTGCTGTAGCGTGCTGATGCTCTAAGGATGCGAGTGATGGTCCTGATGCAGGGGAGACTGGGGGAGGAGCTGCAGAGGGTGATGATGTCAACGCTCTGGCCAATCACTGAGAAGTGTGTTTGCATGCAGTACACACTTTCCAATAGTGACATCAATTTAAAGATGCACTAGAAAGTTTTTTCCACATTAAAAGTTTTACACCTGCCTTGCCTCCTGTGCAGTACATTTTCAAGTCCCCATCGTATTTACCTTAATATAGGCTACCCTTGTGAAACGGAAGTACACTTATAAAATATTTTTAAAAAGAACTTACCACATTAAGCTACATCATATTTCAGCAGTAAAAAAGAAGGTGTAGTATAGGCGCTTAAAAGAATAGGCTATACACCGAAACCAACTGTATGTACGTTTGTTACCTTGAAATATCAGTTTCAAAATCATTGTGATGATAGCTGATAGCTTCTAATAAGACCAATGTCTGTTTCTTTCACACACCAGAAAGAAGGCTATATGGGTATTTTTTTGAATGGATGAGGCAAAGCTTAAATACGCTGAACAGAGTGCTCTTGTGGCAAAACATCTTATCATGAACTGACAGCCTGCTATACTACATGTTTACCAATGAACATTCTTTTTGGATTTATCTATTTTTAGCAACAAATCCTAACAGGTAAGATTCAGTTTACGGTAGGCAACTTCTCATTCATTTCTATGGTATCCGTGAACAATGATTGACTGTCGCACAACTCTGGTATAGCTATCCACTGTAATTACTATAATGTATTTGTGACAGTGAATTTCACTCACTTAAATCTAGGTGGCTCTAAAGTCGCAAAAAATCACTAATTTACATACAGATGTTTTAAATTTACATTAAATGCAATAAGTTGAACTTAAGAGTGCTTTCTTGGCCCACTTCAGTGAGAATTAAGTACATCTACTCTATTTGTAATTTTATAATTCCTTATATTGTCTTTGAAATATGGTTAATGTGTACTGCAGAATATTTATGGTAAACCTTAATATACTTTAATGTAATTTCTATTAAAACCTATGTATGTATTGAAATATATTTGTAATTACACATACACATTATATAGTTGCAATTTAGTACATTTAAAATACATTACCTTTAAATACAATAGTAAAATATAGCTGCAAGCAGCAATTACCGGGGTTCAAGCACTTTAAGGCCTTTAAGATGGTATGTTTTAGGGTCTAGACCAACCTGGATGTATGGCTGACAGTAAAACACATCCAAAATGGAGAATATGCTCACAGACACACACACACACACACACACTGATATGAAATGATTAAACTAGTTTATTAATACTCAATAAGCATACTTAAACACACAGTCACAGAGACACACACACATACACAGACATACATGCACACACATTTTGTTGCAGATATAGATATTTGAAATAAATGATGGGTGACACAAAACTTATTGCAAGTCTTCTGTTTTTAAGAGTGTATATGTCATTTTCAGGTTTCACTGTAATCATAATCTGGCATAATTGTAAAAACTGATATGTCACTAAATGGTAAACTTTGACTCTATGTGATTTTAAATGTTATAACAGTGATTTTATAATGTCTGAATGAATGAATCCATTAGCTAACCTATGAACAGTACTGTTTTAGGACATTTAATGAGCCCATTAGTGGTCTTCTGCTGCCATCTAGTGGTTATAATTGCAATTTCTCATACAACACTGTGTTTTTAACCTTTATAACTATTATAGTGTTATTTTTTTTGCCCAATCGCTCTTAAATTTTACATGCTTGTTTAGAATGAAATTATGCATCAATTTACACAGTTTTGAGAGATATTGTGGGCTTTATTTTAGGATTCATAGGCCGTAGTACTGCTCTGATTTTATTGATTTTGAGTTTAAAACCTACGACTAGTTACCAAAAGTAGTTTTTTTTTAAATAATCTCAAATATTTAATTAACAATTTGATTGACAGCAGTGATCCTAGAGGCAAAGTTATTCAGAATGAGGAGATCTATCAAATGATATGAAGATATAGTGTATAAGTTAATATATGAACATTTTATTTCTATTTGAGGTAATTTACTACAGAAATATTGTGTTTTTGAGACCGTTTTAACTGTTATAGCGCCACCTATGGTTCAATCTCTATGAAACTTTGCATGCTTGTTAAGTGTCTTCTGTCACGTGTTGTCACCAAGTTTCGTAAAGTTTTGAGTTTTCTTTTAGGTTGTATAGGCTTTTGGGTATATTTGGCCACACCCCTTTTAAAATGACCCCATTATAGCTAACCAAAGGACAAAATTAAACATTTTTTTTGAAATTTATTGATCTAGAGAGTCCAGAGAATATTACTGCAGTGGTTTGATCGAGATTGAGCGAAAAACCTAGGACTAGTTCGCAAAAGTAGGTTTTTTAAATAATCTTGGATATTTAATGACCAGTTTGATTGACAGCATTGGTCCTAGAGGCAAAGTTGTTCAAAATGAGGAGATCTATCATATGATATGGATATCTAGTGTTTGTGTGAATATATGTACATGTTCTACAGTTTGAGGTCATTTTCTATACAAATATTGTATTTTTGAGGCCTTTTCAACTGTTATAGCGCCATCTATTGTCCGATCTCCATGAAAGTTTGCATGCTTGTTAAGAGTCATCCGACACATGTTTTCACAAAGTTTCGTAAAGTTTGGAGTTTTCGTTTAGGTTTTATTGACTTAAGGGTATATTTGACCACACCCCTTTTCTAAATTACCCCGTTTAAGATAACCAAAGGATAAAATTCAACATTTTTTTGATAATTATTGATCTAAAGAGTCCAGGGAATATCGCTGCAGTGGTTTGATCGAGATTGAGTGAAAAACCTAGGACTAGTTTGCAAAAGTAGGTTTTGAACATATTTGTGAATAATTAATGAACGATTTGACTGACAGCAATGGTTCTTGAGGCAAAGTTGTGCATTATGAGGAGATCTATCAAATGATATGCATATTGTGTGGATATGTGAAACAACACGTGATTACAGAGCCAAAAAATCTCGTTCTTTCAAAATTCTTACAGACCTTTAGGGCCATGAGTCGAACATGCCCACCGAGTTTTGTTCTGATTGACCTCCGTTAACCTTGTCCAATAGGTGCCTAAATTTATTTGGCCAATGGCGGCCATGTTTTTTGAGATATGCGAATGTCCTCATAGACTCTTGTGCCCCTTTGGACGAAGACACTGCATACCAATTTTCAAGTCGATCGGACCAACGGTTGCATAGTTATAGTCATTTTTAGGTTTTTTTCATCTTATAGCGCCACCAATTTGCAGAACTGCGAATTGTTTTTTATTTGACCAAAGATTGAACTTGCACACATGTGTACCGAGTTTGGTGAAGATATCTCATTCCGTTCAGGAGTTATAGCCATTTTAGTAAAAATGGCCCCGTCCCTAAGCAATGGTGAGTTGAAATTTCAACTTTTTTTTGATAATTTTTTATATTCACTGTCCAAAGAACATTTCTGCACTGGTTTGGTTCCGATAGGGTGAAAAACCTAGGACTAGGTTGCAAAAGTAGGTTTCTGACAAAATTCAAAATGGCGGAAAATTTTTATAGACTGAAATGAAATCGGAGATAGCCATTTTGTTTTCATTGAGCCAAGGAATCCAATGATATAAGACACTTGAGTCTACGACAAACGGTGTAGGAGTTATGAGGGCTTTTGCGTTTTTGATCGCTGTAGCGCCCCCTATTGGTCGATTGCGGTGAGTCTTTGGATCTGACAAGAAGGCCGGACTACTACAATCTGACCAAGTTTCAGCTCTCTAGGCCTTACGGTTTGGGCTGCACGATCAGTTTTAGGGAAGAATAATAATAATAATAAAAATCCTAACAATTACAATAGGGTTTCAGCACTACGTGCTTGAACCCCTAATAACGCACTACAGATAAAATTATAACCAAGTACTAACCTGTGATTTATCATGTTAAATACATCAAAATAAGTGTCTTTATTTTAAAGCATGGCATATTAGTATTAAAACATAAGGGTTTATAAATATACTTTAAAGTAAAAATTTTAATTTGACATCATTTCAAAGTGCATTTTTAAAACAGAATTTTTTTTGTCAAAACACAGTCTACATGAATACTTCCACACTGTAAAAAAAAAAAAAAACACACACACACAGATCAATCTTCTGTTTATCTTCCCTCTCCTATTAACATATTAAATCTTCCTGAGCTTAAATCTGAGTCACTGACTCTACCAGCAGCTGTTTGATTATGAGGTTCAGCATTATGAATCATCATATTATCAGTGTGAATGGCATTGCACACATTCCATGAGTTTATCACTGTAACTTATGTATTCTTATTGCATGTTTTTAAATACATTATTCTGGGCTGCATTTCCCAAAAACATCATAAGCCTAAATTCATCGTAGAACCATTGTCACCAATTGTTACAATGCTTTTGGGAAACGCAGCCGTGATTGATCAACTGCAGC